TCGCACATTCACACCTAGTGACAATTTGGATTATCCAATTAACCTATCCCCACAAGCTGCATGTCTTTGGATGGTGGGAGGAAGCCGAAGTACCCAGAGGGAACCCACGCAAACAGTTAGGGAGACAAAGTTTTAAACTTTGTCTTGCAGCTTTAAGCATTCACACTACAACCAAGAAATACATCCTTTAGTCACCGCATTTTGGACTAAAGACTTAACTGGACTTGACTTGTAACTATGTAACAAGACCCTTTGTTGGGGTGAAATTTGGAGGGTTTGTAGACAAATTGCTTCAGTTTTTCTAACTGATCGTTGTCGCGTCTTAAAATTGTCTGAATGGATTCAATCACAATAATTTTAGCTTTTACACACATAAATACTTGTTTACAGTTTTCCTGCCAAAGAACATTAAGAGGTTGAGAGCAGTCAGTCATTTACTAGTTCACATATTATTCTCACAGATTTATAAATGATAGATTTTCCCTGTTTGACTCCAGGGATGACCTGTGATCCAATATCTTATCAAAAATCGATGTAAGTAAATCCAACCTTTTCCTGACAGAGCCTCGTGTGAATCAGCTCTTTCTTCTCTCTCAGCTCTCTTCAGTCGACCCTGTCGATTCTGCCGTTCTCTCAGAGCTGTTTTCACACTCGTCACCCATGCCTGATACGCCAACTGGGAGAGACAATCTCATTTTAGCAACAGCGTACATCATACAACACGAAACTTTGCGCTTTTGTTTGTGTGAATAAATTGTGTGTGTGAGCACCTGACAGGCAGTCTGTTTCTGAGGCTTCTGTTCTTCAGACTGTAGATCATCTTCATCCTCACTGTCAGATTCAAACAGGTAGTAGTCTCCTGAGTGCAGCACTGCAAGTAGAAAAACATATTGTCATGTAAATAACTCAAATTCTTGTGCAATTCTTCTTCTGACGAAGTTGTGTTTTTGTATTTTCCTACTCAGTTGTATATAGTATTTCTATTTCTGTTTTATTGTATATATTATTCTATTCTATTTTATTCTATTGTATTTTATTGCATTCCAGTGTTTTCTAATTTCTGCTACATAACTTTGCACTTTTGCTGTAACAAAACAAATTTCCCACCTGTGGGACTAATAAAGGTCATCTTATCTTAAATAAGTCTCTAATGCTGCCAAAACAATCAAGCAAACATTTGTATATGTTGCTATTGTTGCCTTTAATGCTACATTTTAGAGTTCTTTTCATTGTTACTATTTTGGGGTCTTTTTTTGAAAGAGCTGCTTTTATACCGCGCCAGTGGTTGAGTAAGCACACAAAATGTTACTGTATCTTTCTACAATGACGAGTAATGAATCTAAATCTTAATCTCGGTCTGTATCATAGCACCAAATAAAAATCTGGTCATGTAGCATTTACGATGGTCCGTTCTGAGCAAAAACGGCTCATTTTATAGTTCTTGAACGCATTGTTCAAACCAAAATCATCACTGCTCATAGACACAAGCAGGACTGCATCATCCAAAAGTAACAAAGAGTAACTTTGGCCTTCTTCATAGATACAGTTTGTTACCATAG